CTGGCCAGGCACCTGCTGCCTCGGGCCTCAGCCCCAGCTCAGTCCCGGCCCGGCACCCTCCGCCTTGACGTTGCCTCCGGTTCAGTGCGGGGCACGGAGGCCCCTGGCACGGCTCACTCTGTTGATCCGGTTCGGGGAGAGCTCCGCAGAAGCCAGCAGGCGCCAGATGGCACAAGGACTTGCAGGCAAGGAGCTGGGGTTTTATTCTATGTGGGGTGACAGAAGGGGGCAGCATGGAGGCAGGAGTGGCCAGCACGTGGCCGCTGCCCCGCCTGTGGTCTGTCACTGCGGCCTGTCACTGGGGCAGACCTTTGCGTGGAGAGCAGATGCCCGCAGCCTCCCTCCCTGTCCCGGGGGGTGGGACTCCGGAAAGGCAGGGGTGTCCTCCCTTTGCTCCTGCCCCTCGTCGGGTGGCTGGGGGCTGCCATCCTGGCCCTTCCCACTCGGTGCCCTCAAGGGTTGGGCTGCGTTTGTGGAGTGGAAGAAAGAGTGCTGGGTGGAAGCTCTGAGTGTAAGTTCCAGTTCCTCTTCTTACTGGCTGGGTGACCTCCAGTGAGTCACTGGACCTTGCAGAGTCTCATTTTTAAATAGGGGAAGATCTCTGCTCCACCCGGGCCGGGGGAGCTGCTGTGAGGTCCTTGGAAACGTTTTGGTGCCGACATAGAAAGAGCTTTGCTGTGCTTCAGGGAGACCCGCAAGGGTCAGACGCCGAGGGCTTCCAGAGCAGCCGGAGGAAGCCCGAGGGCCACCTCCACCGGGAAGCCTTCCTGCCCATGAGGAGTAGAACAGACTGCTGTACACACACCTGTGTCAGCACTTTGCCCCCTGACCTCTGTGCACACACCTGTGTCAGCAACCTGCCCCTGACCCTGAGCACCATACCTTTCAGCACCGGCCCCTGACCTCTGTGCACACACCTGTGTCAGCACTTGGCCCCCTGACCTCTGAGCACACACCTGTGTCAGCACCTGGCCCCCTGACCCCTGAGCACATACCTGTGTCAGCACCTGGCCCCCTGACCTCTGAGCACACACCTGTGTCAGCACCTGGCCCCCTGACCTGAGCACATACCTGTGTCAGCCACCCTGCCCCTGACCTCTGAGCAAACACCTGTGTCGCACCTGCCCTGACCCTGAGCACATACCCCTGTGTCAGCACTGGCCCCTGACCTCCTGTCACACCCTGGTGTCAGCACCTGGCCACCCTACCCTCTGAGCACACACCTGTGTCAGAGCACCTGGCCCCCTGACCTCTGTGCACACACCTGTGCCTTCCTTGTTTCCTCAGTCACAGGGCAACCTGCCAAGCCATGACCCCTGGGGTCCCAGCCTGTGCAGGAATCCCCTTGGTGTCCCCAGCACCCAGCCATCAAGGGCTGAGAAGCGGAACCATGAAGGCGGGCGGGGCGACTGAATGACACCTGCATGAATTGGGTCTTAAGGAGAGCAGAGACCACAAAAACCATTCATCTATAGAAAGTGCCAGAGGCTTCCAGGCATGACCACATGGAACAGCACACAGCCCGTGGGGTTGGCATCCTGAGCCCCACTTGGCAGCGGGGGACTGAGGCTCATAGCGGCCGGGTAGCTTTCCCCAGTCAGGGGCTGGCGAGGCTGGGATTCCAATCCCTAGTGTTGCTCTTCCCACTTCTTTTATTTTTTGAGACAGAGTCTCACTCTGTTGCCTGGGCTAGAGTGCATGGTGTCAGCCTAGCTCACAGCAACCTCAAACTCCTGGGCTCAAGCAATCCTCCTGCCTCAGCCTCCCAAGTAACTGGGACTACAGGCATGCGCCAACTTGCCCAGCTTGTTTTTTTCCTCTATATATTTAGCTTCAGTCTATTCTTCTATTTTTTTGTAGAGACGGGGTCTCACTCTTGCTCGACGTCTTCGAACCTGACTCAAACGATCATGCTGCCTCGGCCTCCCAGAGTGCTAGGATCACAGGCATGAGTTCCCACTTCTTTATGACCTCAGCATTCCAGAGGAGCGAGGCCTTGATATTCACTTCCCTCTGTACGATGGGGAACTGAGGCAGAGTTCGGTGTGGGGGCCTGCCAGTCCAGCACTCAGAGCACGAGTCAGGACCTGCCTGAACTCAGTCCCTGCTCTTGCCTTTGTCCTGAAGTCACCTTTCTCCTCTGCCTCCACCCATTCACCTGTCTTTGCCTATAGGATTCGCCTTATGAGACCCCGAGCAGAGAACCCAGGCCAACCTGCTGGGCTGAGCTACTGACCTACAGAAATCGGGAGCTAATGAGCTGTTAGCGTTGTGACGATTTGTTATGCAGCAACAGGAAACGAATACACTGCCAACAGAGTTCAGGCCGAAGAAGCCATGGCTCGGGCTGGGGTCATGGTCGGGGATGGTGTGAAGCAGATGGACTTGAGAGCACATGCTGGACGAGATGTGACGGCAGGACGGCGAGGACGGTGGCGTCTGGAAGGAAGGCGGGAGGGATGAGGTTGGGGGACAGGTTGAGGGGTCCTTTTGGGGCATCTGTGTGAATTTCTCGAGCAGCCAGCTGGGCACGGGGACGGGTGAGGGCTGGGCGGCCGGCAGCTATGGAGAGTCGGCGGCGGGTGGTGGAGGCTGGCGCCATGGGAGGGAGGAGCCGGGCCCAGGACGGAGCCGCAAGGACCTGGCCCTGAGGGAGCCTGGAGGGGCTGATTCAGGGAGGCACGGGTGGTGTCCTGTCCTAAAAGCTGGGTGCTACAGCTTGAGTGTGCTCCCCAAAGTTTATGTGTTGCAAACTCAATCCCCGTGCAACAGTGTTGAGAGGTGGGACCTCTAAGAGGTGGTTGGGTCATGTGTGCTCTGCGCTCATGAACAGAGCAACGTCATTATCAGGGGAGGAGGAGTTTGGCTCCCTTTCTCTGGTGCACTCGACTGCTCTCTGGCCCGTCCACCTACTGCCGTGGGATGACGCAGAGAGAAGGCCTTTGCCAGATGCCAGCACCTTGATAGCGCCTTCCCAGCCTCCAGGACCGTCACATTACCCGGTCTGTGGTACCCTGTTATAGCAGCACAAAACAGACACTGGGGAGGGTGAGGGCGCAGGGCCCATGAATGCACCCTTATCAAATGTATTTTTTTCCAAAAAAATTCAGAAAAGATTTCTATAATTTTGCTTCTTAATTTCTTTAGCTACCTGACTCTGCCTTTGATAACCTTGGAGAAGATGCATAAACTCTCTGTGCCTCAGTTTCCTCCTCTGTAAAACAAGTATAATGACGGTTCTTGAGCCACAGAACACGTTGACATCTATAAAGTCATAATACCATGCCCAGCGCAGAGTTAAGTCCTGCATACGTGTTAGCTAAATAAACTCAAATGCCAGTAACCTTTAATTTCCGGTTTCTCATCAACCATCTGGCATTCTCAGAGTTCTTGCAATGTGAGGAAATCTAACCCACAAAGAATTCTCAAATGTAGTGAAACTGTTACCAAAAGTTCAGTACTTGTCCCTGTGGAGGAAGGAAAAACGAGGACAAGTAGCTTGAGGAGAAGGAAAGAGAAGATTATTAATTTGCCAGCAAATGAGGAGGATGTCAGCCTCTAGTCTTAAAAACAAAAGAAGCCATTGTCCTATCTAGAAGCAGAAATACAGAGCTTCTGCAGGGAGTCTTCAGCTTTGGGCTGTTGCTGTTTAACTATAGCATCTCCTGTGATCTCTGCCAGGGACAATTCTGTCTAGCCATCTCCTGTGGTACGGAGAACACTGGTCTGTCCCTCTGATCACTGGCCCAGGGCAGGAATGCAGGCCATAAATTCCCAAAAGGGTGAGGGAGTTTTAAAGAGAAGGCTCGTAAAACAGTTTGCTCTTTCTCAGGCTGTTACCTCTGTTACAAAACTCTCATAAATACCAAGTCAAAAATCAAGAGGACATAACCTTACAACTTGTAGGTAATTTAATGAAACATCTATTCAATTTTAATCTTGCCATTTTGTGTTTGCATTTTACAGCAGTACACAATGTTAATTGTTAACACAATTTTCATGGCCCCTGAAAATCCCATAGACGCAGCACCATGAGCCTAACCAGTGAAGCAGCTCCGCCAGCGGCAGAGGGCACACAGGTGCATCCAGGGGGCTGATTCTGAGCTGACCAGATGGGAACAATGACCAGACCTATTGGCCAGTCCCACCTGGCTCCGCCCACCAGCGCTGTGGGGGTGGGGAGGGTGAGAAGGAAGCTGAATTAGCAGAGATCAGAGGGTTCTTCCCAGGGAGGAGTTGGGCAGTTCAGCTGGGTCACAGTCCGTGACAAGGGAGGTGGAGGGCTGAGGCTGTGTATGGATGAAGGAAGCAGCTTCCAGCAAGAGCGCTGGGAGCAGGAGCCTGGGGAGGCAGGAGGAGGGCTGGCTCTCTAGCGCTCCCCACCTGGCTCACCCCACCTGTTATCCCATAATGTCAGGGTTGGGAAGACCCCAGGGGACAGCTAGTTCTGCCTCCTTCTCATTAACAGGTGGGAGACTGAGGGCTCTAGAGCTGAAAGGATCTGCCCAGGTTTAAACTGTGCTGGTCCCAGGTTTCCTGATGGCCCAGTTTCTTTCCCTGTGATATCCCTGTCCACCATGAACCTCACCCCTGCCCTGGAGTGGATTTCCATGTCTGACCTCCCTTCTCATGGCCAGCAAGTCAGCTTTAGTGTATTTCTGGGGTCCCCATGGCCAAGAGGGGGTCTGTTCAGGCAACTGGGGGTTAAGATTTTATTTTATTTTGAGACAGTCTCACTTTGTTGCCCAGGCTAGAGTGAGTGCTGTGGCATCAGCCTAGCTCACAGCAACCTCAAACTCCTGGCTCAAGCGATCCCCTGCCTCAGCCCCCGAGTAGCTGGGATCCAGGCATGGCCACCATGCCCAGCTAATTTTTTCTATATATATTAGGTGGCCAATTAATTTCTTTCTATTTATAGTAGAGACGGCAGCTCGCTCTTGCTCAGGTTGGTTGTGAACTCCTGAGCTCAAATGATCTGCCACCTCGGCCTCCCAGAGAGCTAGGATTACAGGCGTGGCCACCGCGCCCAGCCAAGATTTTATTTTAGTTCATAATTCTGCATACCCTTCTCCAATGGGCCTTCCTGACTTAAACCAGGAAAGGGACGAGTTAATAGCAAATGGTGTGTGCACTGGGGTCTCTTCCTTCCTGGCTATAGGAGCCTTAGGATCCTGGCTCCAGGTCGATTGCTGTGATTTGGAGCATGACTCAACCTCTCTGGGTTTTGATTGCCTCCTCTAACACACAAAGATAACACTTGTTGTCCTCCAGGGCTCAGGGATTCCGCTTGTCCACATCCATGAAGCTCTGGGCACAGGGCGGGTTCTCCAATAATAACAGCATGCGTCTCCCACTCCCAGCCGGCATTTCCTCTTGCGAAATCTCTTCTGCATCCTTTACTCTCACCAAGGTGCAAGCATAATAAATTTAAGGTTATCCCCTCCAGGGGAATTTTAGCAGGGATCTGTTAAAAATAATAAGTGGAGTGCTAATGGTAGAATTTCTGAGGACAGCTGAGGCTGAGAAAATACTCCGTGAAGAGGGTGGGGAGTGGAAAGGGGCTGGAGGAAGGGAGGAGGGAGGCGGTTGAAGGTTTCAGGTAGGGCCTCAGCCTTTGCAGCAGGTAAGACAAGGCCAGTGTTGCAATCTAGACCCGGGGGTGGTTGGACTTAACTTTCCAAGTGAAAGAGAGGCTGGGGAACAGGGACCCGAGCAGAGGAGACCCATGAGTCATGGGAAGGCACGTGGCCAGGAAGCTACTGACACACGCACTCACATGACCACCGCACAAGTTTTAACTGTTTTTCAGGGCTGGATGGAAGAGCCCTTGAACCTGCCTTTTGGAACATGTGCTCACTGACCCAAGATGGGGCTGTTTATACCTAATCTGCCCCAGAATTAATTGCTTTTTCTTCTGGGCCCGTCTCGCATATGCGCACTCCTCATCTCGGAGGATAATTAGCTACAAGGAAGGACTGACACAGGACCCGCACTTTCCACCTCTCACAAAGGCCAGCTGCAAAAAACGGTTCTTGAAAGGATGGTTGGCGAAAAGGCCTACCGTTCTTGAGGTAATGGTAATCGAAGGTGAGGCAATTCTTCAAAGAATGGTTATTGTAAAGGCTCTAGGACAGACTTCCTGGAAATATTCCCTTAGCTCGGCATCAACATAGAAATCTCTGCCAGAACCGTCTTAGTCTGTGAGTTCATGAGACCACTCCTTTAAAAACGCTGGTGGAAGTGCTTCTGGCTTTAGAGATCAAGGAGAAAGGAGGAACAATCGGGGTCCAATCATGGACTTGCCGAACATTAAGGCCAGGAGTGATCTCAGAGAACAGCCAACTCCACATCCCATTATACAGACAGCGAACTGAGGCCTGCAGAAGGCAGGGTGGTGGCCAGGGCCTCTCAGCTGAACTGGCATCTTGTTTAACAAGTTTCTGGGCCTGTCGGACACTTAAAAAATGGGAGACGCGTTCTATGGAAGCTTTTGCTCTTAACACTGACTGGCTCATTGAGTAAGATCAGCCCCAAAGATGCAAAGATGAAAAGGTAATCCATTGATGCCATTGTCACAGCAGTGTAGAAAATGGCATTTAGGCAAGTCCCAGGGGGGAACATGGAAAAATGAAGCAGCTGACCCATTAAAGCAGTTGGCTGGTGGTTGTTTTTTCTTTTTGCTACGTTTTGCTTTATTGTTGTTCTAGTGTTGTTTGTAAAAGAAACCTCGGGGAAAGAAGTGCTGAGTGTTGAGAGCTGATACAATCAATTCTCTACCTTAAGTTGCTTACTGTATTGGGTTAGCTGCTATAACAAATGCACACAAATTTAACTGTGTGCCTCAAAACCACACATATTTGTTATGTTACAGTTCTTTAGGCTAGAAGTCCAACTGAGGATTCACCGGGCTGAATCAAGGAGCAGGCAGGGGGCGTCTATGGGAGAATTGGTGGGGTTTTTTTTGTTTTTTTCCTTTTTCAGCTTCAAGAAGCTGCCTACATTCCTTGACTCGTGGCCTCTTCTTCCATCTTCAATGCCAGCAATATTGCATTTATCTGATCATTCTTATGTAGGCACATCTCTTTCTGAGCCAGGAAATGTTCCCTGATTTTGAAAATATATGTGATTAGATTGGACTCACCTGGATAATCCAGGATACTGTCTCCATCTCAAAGTCCATTTTGCTCAGCAAGGTAACATATTCTCAGGCTCGAGGGATTAAAGTGTAGGCAGTTTTAGGGCCATTATTCTGCCTACGTACTTTTTTTTTTTCCCAAGGGGCCCCCCAAAAAGGGAAGGCAAAACCTTTGCAAAAAAAAAAAAATTCCAATGGTGGAAAAAAAAAGGCCGAAACAAAAATTTTTCAAAAAATTAAAAACCTTTGTTTTAAAAAAAATTCTGCTTTATATTCTGAGTATCTGTTTACAGAAAAGGGCACAAGTTACAAAGTTACAGATGAATTTTCATAAACTGACCACATGGTGTAATCAGCACACAGATGGAGAGACAGAACATGCCCTGTCGCCCCAGAGGCCCTGCTCCTGTCTCCTGCGCTCCTCAAGGCAATTTAGTATTTGTTGACATTAGAGAATGCTGTGTACGGGCAATACCTGGAGTATTACTGAAATAGAAAGGAGCGAGCACAAGTGATATTCATTTATTCGTTCAACAAGTATTTTCTGGCACTTGTCCTGGGCGTCCGGGGCAAAAGGGATGAGTTGATTCTATGCTTGTCCTGCGGCGCAGAACCTATGGAGGAAACTGTAGGGCGGGGAAGGAGTTTGGGGAGCAGCAAGAACACACTGCGTTGGCCAAGCCTGACCAAAGGGCGCCCAGGAAAGCGGGCCCCAGCGGTGACAGCACTGAAGCCGAAAGGACTGCAGGCGAGAGGACCGGCGTGGGCGAAGGCGTGGCAGTGGGAACAGGCCGGGGATGCTGCGGGTGTGGGAAGACAAAGAGGGACGTGGCCACTGGACCGGGCAGCGCTGCGGCCTTGCTCGCGTGGCCCCGCACCCGTGCCCGCATTCTGCAGAGGGGACGCAGGCCCACGGGACCGGAGACGCACACCCGTGGCCACTCACCTCTTCCGAATGCCCTGCCTGCTCCTGGCCACCGAGCCCTCCGTGCCGGGGGAGGGCGCCGCCTGCGTGGGGAGGACAGCGAGCGGAGCACCGGCCGTGGACCTGGACGTCCGGAGGAGGGGAGGGCGACACCTGGGAAGGAAATGAGGAAGCAGGTTGTGCAGATGGGGGAGAAGAGGCCTCGAGGCAGCGGGAGGCCCGGCCTCCACATCCGAGGAGAGGCCGGGGCTGTGCGGGGCAGGGGTGGAGGCTGGCCGGCGAGGCCCCAAGGCGCCACTGTCCTTGGCAAGGGGCGCCGGGCTGCGGTGTGGGGGCCTTCCTCCCCAGCAGAGGCCGGCCGGGCCTCGGCCTCCTCGGGAGCACGTGCCGGCCGACCGCGCGCCTTCCCACCCCTGCACCCCTCATGTCCAGGGCGTCAAATAGGGCCCCCTCCCCCACTGCGCAGCCGAGGAAACTGAGGCCCAACACTCTGCGCCGTGCCAGGTGCAGGGGTCGGCGCGGCAGGCGGGGCTCTGCCACCCTGCCCCCTGGGGGAGCCGGCGGGGGAGCGGCCTCTCGCCGGGCTCCGCGGAGGAAGCTCTGCGGGGGCCTCCTGGCGGCTTGGCGGGTGACGAAGGAAACTCGCGCGGCGCGGCGGGGCGGGGGCCGGAAGGGGCGGCGGGAGGGGCGTTCGGGACCGCGGGGGCAGGGCCTGGGAAGGGACGCCGGCGGAGGGCCCGGAGTGTCGGACCGGGGGCAGGGCCGCGTGCAGACGCGGGATCCCCGAGCGTTACCGCAGGGAAACGGCGGGCTTCCGAAGGTCGGGGGCGGGCCTTGTGGGAGTGGGCGGGGCCAAGGAGCCAGGCCAGTCAGGCCCGCCGGGGCCGGGGCCTTCCGGCGCTGGGGGCGTGGCTGGGCCGGGCCGGGCGGGCGGCGGCTGGCGAGCTGGGCGCGGCTGGCGCTGGGGCGGGCTGGGGCGGGCTGGGGGCGGCTGGGACCTGGGCGGGGCGGCGGCGGCGCGGCGCGCGCGGCGTCTGCGCTGAGGTGCGCTCGCCTCAGCGGGGCTCGGCGGCGGCGGCGGCCGCGACGGCGACGCGCACAAAGGCGGACTGTGGCTTCACTGGTGCTCGCGGCGGGCGGTGCGGGCGGGGCCGGCGGGCGTGCCGGGGCCCGCGGGCGCGGCGCGGCGATGAGCCGGGGCCGGCATGGCCTCCGCGCGGCCGCGGGCCGGGCCTGCCCTCGTGCCCGCGCGCGGGGTCCGGCCGGGCCGCCCGCCTCCGCCGCGCCCGCCTCGGAGCCTGCGGGCGCCGCCGAGGCCGAGGAGCGCTCGCTGCAGCACATGCTGCGCGCCATAGCCGACGAGCGCGGCCGCGTCTGCCTGCGCCGGGAGGTCTGCGGCCTCGGTGAGTGGGCCGGGCCGGGGCGGGCCGGGGGCGGCGGGCCGGGAGCGTCGCAGGTGTGCGCGCCGCCGCGCGTCCGCGTGTCCGTCGCCCTGAGTGCGGCTGTCTCTGCGTCTCTGTGCGCGTCTCTGCGTGCTCGTCTCGGTGTCTGTCGCTGTCCCTCCGCGTGTCTCTGGGTCTCTGTCCTGCCCTCCGTGCACCCCATGGCCCTGTATCTGGGTCTTTCGTGTGTCCCTGTGGCTCCCTCTCTGCTTTGGGTCCCGCGAGCGCCCCGCCGCACCCTGTGTCCCTGTGCCGCTTTCTGTTCCCCCGGTCATTCAGTGTCTCCCTCCAGCCGTCCGCGTGTCTGTTTCATGTTTCATCTCCCTCCTTTCTTTCCCGTAGCTCTGCAAGTGCCCTTCCTTCTGCAGGAAGCGCAGCTGCAGGGAGTGTGGGCGTGGGATTTGGGGAGACCCCTTAGCCCAACGCGACAGGGCCGGTTCCCCGTGGGATCCAGGTGGACCTCCCTGGAGCGTGCCCTGGTCACTGTCCCCAGCTCACGCGGATGGTGGAGGCTCCAGCTTCCTGAAGCCTTTGTCTTTCTGCACCCAGCCTTCCTTTTTATCCATTAGCTCTAACCAGGGACCTGTTGGGCAGTGGCCACCTGAACCCACCCACTTGGTAAGGGAGCAGGGCGCGCTGCCTCCCTGGGCACGTTTCTGGTCTAAGGAGGCCCTAAGTCATCAATCTGCTGGGTGAGGTGGGGTGAGGGTGCCTCTTACGGTTTGAAAGGGCCTGGGAGTGCAGGTGTGGGTGGGGTCTCCCAGCGTGGCTGGGTGTGAGGTAATCCATTATGGATGGATCAAGCCCAGATCTAAGCCAGGGAGGAGCCCCCTCTTTTGTAGTCTCGAGTTTGTCATTTTCTCCATGAAAAGACCCCTCCCTTCTCCATGCAGGGAATGACTTCATACCACATTGTCAGCCACCCCCAACCCCCACCCCCATCTGGGCTGGGGATTTCTGAGGGGGCGACAGCATTGCTGGGTAGGGAATGTCAGCCTTCCAGATTCTACCAGTGCCCCCTCATTCACCGTTGGGGAAACTGAGTCCCAAAGAGCAAAGGCATCCACTCTAAGGTCACACAGCAGCAGGCCCCCCAGCAGGCCACACCCGGGAGGCTGGGGTGAGGAGAGAAATACGCTGGAATCCTCCCCTTTGTAGGAGACTGGCTTAGCACAAGGCATTTCTCAGTGAGCAGGTCCCAGGCTGGAGCTTTCTTGGGGGAGGGGGAGAGGTGGTGCTTATGAAGTGGAAGGGATAAGAACATAGGTGTTAAGATTTATTTTTGAGCAGAAATTGGAGAATGCTCATTAATTCATTTAGCAAACATTCATTGAGTACCTACTGTGTGCTAGCCTGGCAGGCCCACCTGCCACCTGGCACAGAATGAGCTGGGATGGGTTGAGGGACCATCTGCTGCAGGCCCCTTGGTCCTGTTTTCTCAGTAGCTCCAAGCAGTTCCTCCCTGCTTCCCTGTCCACACATGCCTTCTGTCCTCTGACTGCATTTACCTGTGAGCATCTTCTCTTCTGTTATGCAGTTCCTGCTGCAAGGCGGCCTCAGTGCCATCCTCTAAGAACAGTGATATTGGCACCTAGCGTTTACTGAGCACTTACCCTGTGCCAGATGCTTTATGCATGCTCTGTCCATTTAGTCTGACACAATGCTGACTTTGCCAGGTAGCAACATTATGTCCATAGCACCATGTAGAGCCTGGGGGTTAGAGAGCCTGAAACTTGCGCAAGGACAGCCAGGGCTTGATGACTCTCACACTATAGCCTTGCTTGCTCTCCTGGCCTCCATTTTTCCCTCTCACACAAGGAATTCCCTCTTACCCTACTCCTGAATTCAGTCCCTGAGGGTTCCGAAGATCTGCACTTTTACACGGCTGTTTTCTCTGCCTGGATAGCCGCCCCTACTCATTTGCCCCATGAGCACCTACAGGTCTTCCTTTAAGTCTTGGCTCCGATGCTGCCACCCTGGGAACTCTTTCTTTAAATAAAAAAAATTTTTTTAGACAGAGTCTCACTCTGTCGCCTAGGGGCTAGAGTGCTGTGGCGTCAGCCTAGCTCACAGCAACCCCAAACTCCTGGGCCCAGGTGATCCTCCTGCCTCAGCCTCCTGAGTAGCTGGGACTACAGGCATGCGCCACCACACCTGGCTAATTTTTTTTATTTTTAGTAGAGGTGGGGTCTTGGTCTTGCTCAGGCTGGTCTCGAACTCCTGGGCTCAAGCAATCCTTCTGCCTTAGCCTCCCAGAGTGCTAATATTATAGGCATGAGCCACCGTGCCCGCCAATCCTAGGAACTCTTTTCTAACTCCCAGGCACACAGTCCTGTTCCACCACTGCCTGTGTTCTCTTTGTGTTGAGTACATGTCCCTTGGGACAGTGAGGACAATTGAGGGATCATAATAGTCTATGTGGCTGTCTCCTCCGTTAGCAGTGAGCTCTTGAGGGTATTGCATAGTCTCAGTACCTTCCATGGGGCATATACAGAGCAGGTGCCCAATAACATTTAGCAAACAAATGGAAGAATTACTTTCTGGACCGGCAAATAAAGGGTGTGCGTGGCCAAGGAGACTGGAATCTTAACTCCTTGGAAGGGCTCACGTTGCCCATCTCTTTCATTTTTCAGAGGAGAGATTTGATATTCAGAGAGAAGCGAGCTTGTTAGGAATTTAATGCCCAGAGCAGAGTTAGGACCCAGTAATTGGCTCAAGTACCCAGAACACTTGCCCCAGGGCACTTGAACATCCACTGAATCGTTAACTTTTTCAACCCAACATAATCTGGGTTCAGGATTATGTTTTATCGTCTCCATTTTATAGTGGTGACAACCTGTTTATGAATGAATTTAAATCTGTCAGATTGTTGTTGTTGTTTAATTAAAGCTCAGGTGACTCAGAACTGTGCTGTGTCCTCTGAGGTTGTTTTGAAGGTGTGGGGAAGCCTCAGGTGGAGGCACTTGGCTTCAGACAAGCTGTTGTCATCTCTGAGTCAGTGTCCGTAGGATGGGACAAAGCTTTTGTCCCTCCCCATGCAGGGATTGTCGCCCGGCTTCCGTGATGAAAGGCACCTTCTAGATCCAAACCTTACTGTTGTGTCTCGCCTGTGGTGGCCTCTGCAGGAGAAGCACCTTTGAGCACTTGTTCTGAGTCGGCCCAGATCCCTGCCTATGGGAGGGCACAGTCGATGGGGGAGAGAAGCCAGGTGCACAAGTGATTCTTTTTTTTGAGACAGAGTCTCACTCTGTTGCCCAGGCTAGAGTGCCGTGATGTCAGCCTGGCTCACTGCAACCTCAAACTCCTGGGCTCAAGCAATCCTCCTCCTGCCTCAGCCTCCCGAGTAGCTGGGACCACAGGCATGCGCCACCATGCCCGGCTAATTTTTTCTATATAGTTTTAGTCGGCCAATTAATTTCTTTCTATTTTTAGTAGAGACGGGGTCTCGATTTTGCTCAGGTTGGTTTCAAAATCCTGACCTCAAACGATCCTTCCGCCTCAGCCTCCCAGAGAGCTAGGATTACAGGTGTGAGCCACCTCACCTGGCCCCTACAAGTGACTCTTAGCTGAAGTAAAAACCCTGCCGGAAGCTCCAGGGCTGGGGTCGCCTCCCAAGCAAGGTTTTGGTGTTGTGGTTCCAGGTAACAGATGGACCAAGTGGGCCGGCTGCGGTATCTTCTGTGGGGTCCAGAATCTTTGAGCTGGGAGGAGTCAGGTGGTTCAACGTCCAGGTGTCTGGCTATCTGGATGGAAGGTGGACAAAGCCTGCCACTTGATCCTGGGCTTGGGCAGTCTCCTGGGCCTTGGATGTCAGCCCAGACATGCTGTGTGGGCAGGTCCCTTTCTTTTTTTTTTTGAGACAGAGTCTCACTCTGTTGCCCAGGCTAGAGTGAGTGCCGTGGCATCAGCCTAGCTCACAGCAACCTCAAACTCTTGGGCTCAGGCAATCTTCCTGCCTCAGCCTCCCGAGTAGCTAGGACTACAGGCATGCGCCACCATGCACGGCTAATTTTTTCTATATATATTTCTATTTTTCTATATATATATATATTTTCTATATATATTGGCCAATTAATTTCTTTCTATTTATAGTAGAGACAGGGTCTCACTCTTGCTCAGGCTGGTTTCGAACTCCTGACCTCAAGCAATCTGCCCGCCTCGGCCTCCCAGAGTGCTAGGATTACAGGCGTGAGCCACTGCGCCTGGCCTGGCAGGTCCCTTTCAACAGGGCGGCCTGACTCTGACAGTCAGGTGCCGTGGATGTGACTGGGCCCCAGGACCTAGGGTGCATTCCGAGAAGTGCTGTGAGAGGGTGGGGCCTGCATCTTGCTCCTGGCCTTTGGGTCCTACTGTGGCTGCACAGTTTTGGAGCCAGTCATGCCTGGGCATTTTGGGCTTAACGCCCTTTTAGGAGGCCTAGGGGATTCCTCTTCTCCCTGGAATGCTACAGGGCAAAGGAGTGTTCTAATGTTCTTTCTTTCCTTTTATCCTTGAGGTGATCCTATGAGGTAGATAGTATATTCTTTGTCCTGAAGAGGGAGCACAGGTTTGGCGGGGAGGTAACGCCCCCAGCTGCGGGGCTGTAAAGTGGCAGAGTCTGTCTGAGCCCACACTCTTTTTACTGTTTCACTCTGGGCAGAGGTGAGGCCCAGCCAGGCGTGTCCTGAGGGTCCTGATGCCCGGCTGACTCAGATCACACGGCTGCCTGGCCAAGGTTGGTCGAGGAGGTGCCCCAGCGGAGCTGTGAGCACTCAGCCAGAGAGGCCAAGGGCAGGGGTTGTAGAGGGCATGGCCTCCACCGAGGCTGAGTGGGAGAGCAGAGGCCCAGAGGCTTGAAGGAGGTGTGGGGGTCAAGGCTGGAGCAGTGCCTGGCTGAGAATTTGGTACTTCCTGGTCCTGGCCTCAGAGAGCCTAGCAGGTGTGACTTGTTGTGAGGGCCTGCATGGAGGGCCAGAGTGCTC